GACTATAGGTCATTATACTAAGAGTCTGGATGAACTCCTGAGAGAAGCACAGAAAGTATATTTGAAAAAAAAAAAAAAAAAAAAGGGGAATTAAAGGGAAAGTGGGACCAAGAGAAGAGGCACCACTGGCTAGGGAAATCCCAAGGGGATGTTTTTATTGTGGGAAAGGCAGGGGGCATTGTAAACAAGAATGCCCCCAGAAAATACGGGACCTGTTGGCGTTTGAAGTAACCCAACAGGATGAGGGTGGTAATCACTAGGGGTGTCAGGAGCTCTACCTCCTGGGGGGTATACCAGCAGAAGAGCCCTTGATAAATTTGAAATTAAGTCCCCAGGAGGAAGATTGTGTAAAAGATACAGCCTGGGCTGTATGGGCCAAAGGCAAAGGGTTTTTGGTCCCAGTTATAAAGAATGTGTTAATACAAGGGGAAGATCAATATGCTGTTCATGATCTGTTGTTAATGCCAGGGGTAGGATGTAATTTGCTAGGTAGAGATTTACAAGTGCAATTAGGAATAGGTGTGGTGCTGGATGAAGGAAAACTGGTGGTTAAATTACTAGAATTATGGGAGGATATTCAGGAACTAGAGCATGACTGTGTGGATTTTATAAGTTATCAAACGAAAATAAGAGAAGATCTGCTAGATGAACCTTTGCCCTATAGGGAAAAACTATTTATTGATGGGTCCTCTTGATGCCTAGAAGGGAAAAGAATATTGGGTTATGCAGTTATCGAGGGGCAGAAGATGGAAGTGTTTGAAAAGGGGAAATTACCTGCTGGGTGGTCAGCACAAGCCTGTGAACTCTATGCCCTAAAACAGGCATTGGTATATTTGAGAGGTAAGGAAGGGACAGTGTACACAGACTTAAAGTATGCATTTGGAGTGGTCCACACATTTGGAAAATATGGGAAGGAAGAGGGCTTATGAATACAAAAGGGAAGGAGCTAGTACACGAGCAGCTGATCAGAGAGGTTTTAGAAGCCCTGAAGCTCCCTACAGAAATTGCAATTGTGCATGTGAAAGGACATCAGAGGGGAGCATCAATGGAAATAAGGGGGAATAATTTAGCAGATTAAGTAGCCAGAGAAGCAGCTACAGAATTATCATCAGTAGTTTTATTGGAAATAACAACGGGGGATTATGGGAATTTAGCCCCGAATTTCACAGAACAAGAGAAGGTTATACTTAAAAATAGGGGGGGAAAAAGATCCAGAAGGAAAATGGACTTTACCAGATGGAAGGTAGATGTTAAATAAAACATTATCATGAGAAATTCTGTCATTAATACATCAGAAAATACATTGGGGAACGCAATCACTTTGTGATCATTTTCTTAGACAATATGGGTGTATAGGAATATATACGGAGGCTAAACAACTAGTTGATTGATGTCTGATTTGTTAAAAAGTGAACAAAAAGGTAATGAGAAAAAGGTGGCTGGGGAACAGGAGCTAGCCATACAAAGCCTCCAGGTAGACTTAACAGAGCTACCTCGAATATAAGGGTGGAAGTATTTGTTGGTATTAGTGGCTCACTTAACTCATTGGGTGAAAGCAATCCCCCACACCAAGGGCAATGGCAAGCACGGTATCCAAGGTGTTATTGGAAAACATTATCCCCAGATATGGATTAATAGAAAGAATAGACTTGGACAGAGGAACACATTTCATTTTAAAAATTATGCAACAACTATCTGAAGCCTTAGGGATTGAATGGGCGTGGCACACCCTATGGCACCCTCGGAGTTCTGGAAGAGGAGAAAGAATGAATCAAACTTCAAAACAACCCTTGACTAAGTTAATGATTGAGACTCAGATGTCTTGGATTAAATGCCTGCCGTTGGCCTTATTAAGGATCAATACTCAGCCACGAGCAGACCTGGGAATTTCTCCCTATGAAATGATGTTTGGATTACCATATATGAGTAATGACAGGGATATTGTCACCCCTGAAGTAGGAGATCAGTATGTAAGAAAGTACGTAATAAGAATTGCTGACACTTTAATGAAACTAAGAAAGAAAGGGCTTCTGCCTCAAATACCACCATTGGATTTTAATATCCACAATGTAAAACCAGGTGATTGGGTATTGATAAAAGTGTGGAAAGATTAATCATTAACTCCCGAGCGGGAAGGTCCATTTCAGGTGCTGCTGACCACCGAGACAGCAATCCGAAGAAAAGAAAAGGGGTGGACTCATGCCTCCCGAGAAAAGGACCGGTGGAAAAGCCTCAGGAGTGGACTGTGATACCATCAACTGACCAACTACAAGTCACCCTCAAAGGACTAAGTAAATTCATCAGGAGGGGATTGAATGACTCTTAACCAGTGGTTTGACTGGGTTTTTGACTGGGTTCAGAGGTAACACTGTGAAAATTTACTTATTCATTTACTTACTTGATATATAGGGAACCACAAAAAATGTCAGGAAAAAGCTGGCCTTTACCAAGCATTAACTGGCGGACAAGTGTCAGAGTGGCTTTTGGTAATAGATTATGAGCATTTTGGATTCGATCAGGCATTGCTAGAATATCAATCTAATAGGGTAATACCTTGTCTCGAGTATATATACGGATGTCATGAAGTGTGGTTTTTGTGTGAATGTGTAATGTGTCACCGGAGGTGGTATTTCTCGCAGATGGAGAAAATTGTGTTATAACTGTAATAGGGACTGTGAATATAGGGAAGGGGCATGAACTGTAACCTTGATTTATGGGAAAAAGAGGTTAGTCCCTGGAATTTTGGACGTCCCTGAGGGTTGATGGAAGGACACTATTCGAAAGTGCCAAAAGTTTGCTTTGCTTAGAAACAAAGGAAGTGGCTACAAAGGAGCTGCACTTGAATTGACTAACTCTTAATGCACGGATTCATTAAACAGTAGAGGGCAAGACCGGGTTAACCTCTGTGCTCGCCACCAGGAAGACCTTTATCTCAGCTGTGGGCTGCAACCCCATAGGCATGAGAGGTGGGAGTATATGTTATACCGGACCTCTGCTAATCATCCTGGTATGGTTTGCTCTAATAGCGGCAAATCCGTGCATCAAGTGCTTACTGTTATGTCCAACATCAGAGTGTGGAAAAAGGTTGGATTTTTCTTCCTTTGTGCTATGGCAGGCTTACTGTTCTTACCATGTTTAATACCCTGCTTTATATGGCTGATATCTCATGTTATTGAGGGGATGCAAATAACAGCAATATCGATAAACCCTGAAATGGCTGCATTGGCTGGTGCCCACAAAGTTATCATATTAAGAGAAGAATGAGACTAAGTGTTAGTAAGCTCAAGCAAAATAGAGTATTAAAAAGGAAAAGGGGTGGTTTGTGATAAGTAATAGAAGAATTTTGCTTTCGCTAAAAGTAATTAAAAAATTACTTCTTAGGCTAAAGCTATTATTAGTACAATGATCCAGATTTTAAGAAAAGTAAAAGACTTTACTACTGGGAAAAGGAGGGAATTGATCTGAGGAAACACCAACCCAACAGCCCCCCCTCTTGGGATGCTCACCAAATGGTCCATATCAAAGGGTGGTAACTCCTTTGCAATGGAATGAGAAAGAACAGAATGGGCCATCTCTGGTATCCCTTGTCCTTGAGATAAGAGAGGAGCTGAAACCACTGAGCCATAAAAGACAAAGGAGCTGCAAATTGGCCCAGGCTTGAAGGACAAGGTGTACGTGACCACAGGACTGAGGAGGCGTGCGGAAGGTGTTGAAACCGGCAGCTGGGTGGATAAAAGGGGGTTTGAAACTTAAAGAATTTGGTGAGCCTGGACGGAGCTGCGACTCCTTGGCCACCCCAGCACTGCATTTGCTCTCTTAATAAAGATTCATTAATCCATATTTGGATGTGATTTGCCTTAATCTACCTATAACATTAGCAAACTTATCTGATAAGAATTGCACTGGATTGAATGTGCTGACTGATTGGATCTTTCTAATTTGTCCATCCTAATAATTCCATATCTTGCACCAGTCAGAGATCTTTTGACATTGAGTCTGTCTTTGTGAGTTTTCAGGCATAAACAAGATCACAGCTGTATTTCAGCAGCATTTAGTAACTTATCTGTGGCAATTGCTTGTTTGTCCCCTCTGAATTCAGACTGTACTTTGAAGATGGCATAAGATGCAGCTTTGTGACACTTCTTTTTATTTGTTTGTATGGTGTTACTGTTAGCTGTCCCAATCACGAATAGAACTTACCTACACACAGCAGATAAGCAGGCACTTCTTTATTCCAACGCTGGGGAACACGGGGGATAACTCCGCCAAAGACGTGTTCGCCAACAGGTACAAAGCACAGCATATTTATACACTTTTTTCAGCAGAGTCATAGTTACATAAGATCAACAAAATTCATAAAGTTTAAGTTGACCTTAATAATGATTGGCTTTCAGTTACCTCACCTTATCTATATTCCTAATTTACAGAACTCATTGGTCATCTTTACTGATTGATTTGAATAGAATGGGGGGAGTGCAATGATTAGCATATTCATGTTATTTCCTTTGAATTATTATCATATGCAAATGTCTCTAACGCATGCGTGGTTATACTGGGCGGGGGTCCTCTGGTGGTCGTCGATAGTCTTCATCACTGTGTCGGTTGATTGAACTCCATCCTTGCGCATGCTCATTTTATCGTTGGCTAATGCTCATTTCTCCTTTGGCCGATCTTCCCAACCAAACCAGTTTCTTCTGGTACCTATTGTTTCAAGTCAAAATCCATAACCAGTACCTATTGTGCTAATTCAGAGTCCGTAACGATTGTTATAGTGTTCAAGGCACACAGCATACTAGTTGCTTAATCCTAAGGCCCTTAGTGTACTTTATATTCTCATAGCTACTGTAGCTTCATGTTAAATCAAAATCATACTTTTAAACTAAAATCAAAATAATATTCTAGGATTCAAACTGTTTTATTAAGGTAACTGCAACATTACTGCCTTCTGGTTTGCACATCTGACTGGAGATTCTAGTAACATTTAATCTTCTGTCTTTCAGGTATTTATAGCTGATGACTACTCAGATCCATTTGATGCCAAAAGTGAGTTCAACAGCATGGGAAAACGGGAGAACACTGGCTATATGGAACCATATGAAGCCCAGAGAATAATGGCTGGTAAGAAAAGACAATTGCACATGTGAGCCTTAATTGCATGGCAGTTCACATTGATATTACAGCTGCTATGAAACAGAAATGTCCTTTGACATGCAAAAGCATGTTTCTCAAGGTGCTTAGGTAGTCAAGAGTAAATGCTGTGGGGGATTTTCATGTGCCTGCACATGTCTTGATATTTAAAAATACTGCTCTGCACCTCACTCTTGAATGTAGATGGTTTGTACTGTCATGTGAAAAGATGAAAATGCGAGCAGTGGGAGTTGGAATGTTTATTGCTCAACTTGGCAATGTCAAGGCTGTCATCTTTGTACATAGTAGGGATGGCCAAAGCATGACATTGTGTTAGTTCACTTAAAAACAGTTGATCAATTTACTTATGGCCTTTTTTCCCCTCAGTCAGATTCAGACTTCATGGTCTTCCCTCTGTTGGAGGAGGGCTGCAAAATTACACCTTTGTGTAGCTTGCTTCCTTTCTTCCTCACTTCTTTTATGATTTTTTGTACCAATGGACTAAATGAGATACATTAGGATGCCTGTAAGCCTCTAACTGCTATTCTTGGTAGTGTACTTCCTTTTCTATTATGTAAAGAGGTGGTTAATAGTGGTATTGTTGTAGGAGTTTGGACTGTTTGAGCCCCTTGTCCAGGCATTATGCAACTGTATTGTCCGTGTGTTTTCCTCATATTATCTGCATCCATTTCCTACTTGTTGACTGTGCAGTCCATAAACTTAACTGGCATATGGGGCCATATGTTTTTAATTTATAATTATTCGACTCAGTCAACACACATCTTTGTGCAGATCAATTGTGCATGTCTTGAATTTGTACAGCAGGTCCTCTTTTTCTCATTATGAGGTAAAAGTCACTCTTGTGACCAGTTAAGTTGATTCTATGCTTTCATTTTCTATTGGCAGCTCCTGTTTTTGGCCCTCAGGAAAGATTAATCACTGGGGGAAGATGAGGCTGTTGGATGCAAAGATCCTTTTTTCATGCAAGTGTTCCTATTTTTCTTATCCTAAACAGCATTTCTGAGGAGAGATACAGGAAATGACACGTAGACTATATTGTTTGGAAGTTTTCAGTATCTTATAGAGGTGCTGGGAGCATTTATTTCTCATTGGTGTAAATCTATTCATTCTAGTTTAGTAATTTTGCAGAAAAACAAATTAGTCCAAATAGGTTCTTGCTCTTTATACAACAGTGCATTTTTAATTTTAACTATGAAGTTTACAGTGCTTTGATTTCATTCTTCCTGTGTCTGGGACAGGATCTTATTCTATCTCATTTTCCATATTAGCCATAATAAACGGGAAAGTTTAGTGGACAATACTGGATGGCTTAGCTAAAGTAAATGACAGTAAATTTGTGTACTCTTGCAATTGCAAGACACCCTTTTGTCAAATTGGTGTTTGGTGCAGCTGAGAAGCTGTTATACCTGCTCCATATATTATCATAAAGCAAACGTGGAGCTCTCTAAAGGCTCTTTTGAAACTGGGGTTTAATTGAGTATGATGATATAGCAAGTGTTCTGAATATGTGTTTCATTGATAGGAGATGCTTAGTATCTCCCTGAAGATGTTCAGTGTTTTGAGATCTGAGTATTTGGTTTCTAGTCATCTTGTCCTAACTCTGGTAGAAACAGATAAAGTTTTCCCATAAACCTCAGTGACATCAGCTTATATTCAGCTATATTTAAGTATGTGATTTCATTTTTTTTTTTATTGCACAGATGTTGCCTTTGTGTTTTACTTGACAAATGAAAATCCAAAGGCTTTTTTTTTTTTTTGAGATTTTTAAAGATTCAGTTTATATTTCCCAGGTGATTACTATTATATATCTACTACTTCTAAAGAAGACTTTTGGACTGCAGTTTGGTCTCAAAATGTTTACTGCTTTTTTTTTTATGTTTTTTTGTTAGCTGTGATGTCTGGTGACCAAAAGAACATTATATGGCTATTCATTCAGTTTAACTAATCTGGTGAAGTCATTCTGACTGTATTTAACATGGGTTAATCCCAGAGCAGGGGGAATCTGCATACCCCAGTAGAATGTGCTTTAGGAGAGACAGAAAACAAAATAACCTTTTGTCAGTTATTCCTTGTTTACTAACGTACCTTAGCTCTTGATCAACTCTGGAAACCAAGTATAAGGGCTAGTTTTAAATATGAGCCTAAAGTTTTTGTGTGTGTGCCATGCTTCTTGAGTTAGTAGATGCTTAGGGAAAAGCAAATGTCCATATGAAATAAGACCCTATTATTTCAATTTGAGAAGTTAAACTTACACCTGAGTAGAAATGTATGATGTCTGAAATACCTAGTATGTTAATTCAAAACTTATTCTTCCTTCCTGAAAGCTTTGTGGGCTTTTACTTGTGAAGTAGTTTGTTCTCAGATGATGTTTAATTTAAAAAAAAAAAAAAAAAATCTTGAAGTTGATGACATCAGTAAACTGTCTAATGGTCTATCTGATTCCATGTTGTCTGTGATTAGAATTGGGTTTAATCAGGCTTGAAGTTTCTTCTGCTGATAGTGTCCTTGAAAAGTACTGTCTTCCCAGATTTTTGGTTATGTTGATTGAAAGAAAGCAACCTTTATGCCAACGTTTGGAAACGCTTTTCAAGGAAAGGCTTGACCCTGAGACTAAGATAGACCATGTTGAAAATAAATGCATGTTTAAAAGAAGCTGTCATCTCCTGGCAGCCAAACGCATCTGTTGGCCTGTGCTGATATCCATAAGCGTTTGTCCTGTCTTCAGGAAGTCCATGCCAGAGGTTCAGAAAAAATCCCTGGCAATGCAGTTCCTGGTGTGCTGTGCAGTGTGAGTCTCAGCTTGTATGGGTGTGCACCCAAAGCCACAAGAAGTGTTGCATCTTTGCCTTATTCCCAAATTGTTTGGGGATTGGATCTCCCAGTGTAAACACAGATGTATGAAGGAAGTTCTGTATGATCTTAGTATTTGATATACTGTGTCCTGAACTACACGTTAGAGTGAGATCCTGGCCTGGCTGTTATCATGCACGTATGCATGCATGCATGAAAACAAGTAGAGACAGCCAAGAAGATGCTGATTTCTGAAGATCCTGAGAAATAGGTGGACCAGAGAGATAAAAGTAACCTGCTAAAAAGATACTAGCATTGCTGATACTGCCTAGATAACCATATCCTAGCAAGAAGTAGATGAGAAAGGATTGGAGGCAAAGAGAAGAGGAAAGAAGAAATAATGCAAGCTAACATTACCGTGACTGGTGTTTGTCATAAAGTTGCAACCCCATATGCTGCTTTACATTTGGGCTGTCTAATACCTGAAAGGACTCTGTAACAGCAGTATAAATCCCCATTGTTCCCTTGCAAGGGCTAGAATGTCTCTCCAAGTGTGTTGCAATATGGTGTTTCCACTGCTTTCTTATGCAAGCTTTCCGTTCTTATTTTTTCTCTAGCATCAGTCTGTAGCTGATGCAATAGCTGCTGCATTAACATGTGGCCCATCACAGAAATAGGCCTGTGCTGCCTTATCAAGCCTGTAACCAAGTATCATTGCTTGGATCAGGTGTAGGAGGTACTTCATGCCTGGGAGAGAGTTCCCCAGAGTAGCAGTGACTGGAGATGCTACATTTGAACAGAAGTGAATGGTTGAGACACTGTCAGGCTTGAGTGGGTGTCCAGGCTGTTCAGTCATCTCTTCTTGTGGAATGCTAGGGGAATAGAAGTTAGGTTCCACCTGAGTATTTACTCCCATCAGCCTACAATGGATGTCAAACACTGGAGAGAGGTATGTTTGTTTTCTGTGGTAATCCTGTACCTGACAGAAGGAAAGGTGTCGTCAACTCATGGATATGGCTATGATGGAGAAAACTGTAGGTATTTTTTTTTCCCCTTTAAAATCCTCTTAAAGTCATAAAGCCCTATCCCAGCCATGCCCTGTGAGGTTGAAGGGATAGTGCCATTCTACTTTCTCCTGACAACTGTGTGTGTTGACACAGCTCTTCAAGGTATCTCTGCCTCTCAGAAAGAATTAAGTCCTCTGACTGAATGAAGCATTTGCAATCAGATGCCAAATCAAGGCAGTCAGTACCACAGACATCTGTGTGCTGGATCATAGAGTGCATCTAAAAATCACCTTTGGAGGAAGATCCAGTTTTGATTCACCACTCAAATGGATATATGCTGTCAGCCAAGTTGTGACACAAAGATCTGTATCATTTTAAGGTAGGATAAAGAGTACTGGCTACAAGAATGAGATAACAGACTGCATGGGTTGCCCTTCTTAACTTGCTGCTTGGCTTTGAAGGGAGCCCCTAACCTTCAACTCAAAATTTTTTAAGTACAAGGTGCCTAGCATGATGCATGCTATAATATAAAAATCAGTTTACTTGAACAATAGTAAAATTAAGGTCAGTTCAAGTCTCAAACTAATTTGGAATCACATTATCAAAAATGGGGGGGAGGAGGGGATGTTCTGTGAGAGGAGAAGTAAAAAGCATTATCCGAGGGGCATGCCTACCTTGTGATATGTGTTGGCAAAAACACTTCTGTCTTTTCCAGATCAGGAGCTGTGTTTTCTATGCTGTAGAAAGGGTAGTGAAGGAGAGTTGGGAGGGGCTAGGCCTCTGAGTTAGGACAATGGTTTGAAAGTTGAGATAAGCATATGGTACATCAGTGCCTTGATTTCTTAGAGGCCTCGAAGTGCCTCAGGTCTGTTCCCTGTCTGGAAGTTTGAATGTACACTATGTTTTTCCTTTGCTTTATTAGACATTACCTAGCACTGTGACAGGGACATCAGCCCCTGCATAGGATTCTGGCCTCTATCATGCATCTGCCTCAAGGATATGGTAGACAAGAAGAAACCCCTCTTCTTGTGTTTCAGAATTCTGTAGGCTTCAAAAGATAGCATTTCTGAAAATAGTTATTTGCCCTGAGATGTAACATGCCATGTGATATTCCTCATGGAACAAATGCTGTGTTGTGAAGAGACTTCAGAAGGCTGTCATAACACTATTTAT